ATATTACTATTCCTCTAAATCGTTATCAACCTATCAACAGTCTTATTTTCCGTTATCTATTGCATTGTTGAATTCTTTGGACTGAAGTATTAGACAGATTTTTACATTTTCCTCTTTTAAACTAAATTTGCATAAACTATATTAGAAAAAAAATAATTCTTGGAGATATGATTCCTCAGGAGTTCGTTTGTATTCTGTTTTACACACAACACTGCGTAACAGATGTAGCGCTCTGCATGCTGACTTGTTCATTGCAAATTTAATACAAAATACCAATAATTGTTCATGTTGTTCTATCAATGAAAACTATTTACCTTATTGTATTAATTTTCAAATTCATAGACATCTGATGTTAAACGAAAGTAATGTCTTTTATGTCAATATTACTATCGATTTATTATTATTTTGGCAATGATGTATTGCATACTGAAGAAAATGATATTATTTGTTTATCTATTCAAAAGTATATAGAAAATACCAAACGTTTTTCTCTGCATAGACAACCTAAACTTTGTAAACAACACATGTGAGTAAAGATATTTCTAAATACATGTAATGGCAATAATCGAATGATCTTGATGAATAACTACTGTTATGTTGTGTTATCAATAACGAATAAATGGATTTTAAAATTAAAAACTAATTGTTCAGAGAACAATTGAAGGTTTTTCAACCCAAATTAACCGAAGATAAGAAAATTTTGATAAAAAACAGTATGTCCGATCTTAAATGATAGCTAATCACACACTGATTTTGAAAATAAAATGTTGAAGGCACTTTTTTTCATCAACTAAGGGAGATAATAAGCCACTTCCGGTTAAATCAAAAAAAACTTCCGGTGTCAAAAATAGCTTACTTCACGCTGACTCCAAAAATATATAGTTTTTATATACTTGTGTTTAAAATAAGGGAGATAAGTTGCTTCTTCCGGTTAAAAAAAGTTCACTTTTGGTTTCAAGATCATATATCTACCAACCTAATGCAAAAGACCCCATGGCTTTGTCATGTATAAATATGAATCTATAGCAAAGGTCAATATCTAGAACGTCAAAATCAAAATTAAGAACCTGATCGTGACCTTTGACCTTGACCTAATTTTCTATTTGTTGGACCAAGAACCTCAATTCAAAAACACCCTATGTCTCTATAACTAATGGTTTACCAATTATCATTATATTTAACTTATCTTAAATACAGAAGGAGAAATAACTCTCATATAGAGTCTCCGGAACGCTTCGGTCAAAATTATTCTTAAGATCCTTAGGATATAACAAGCGAATTGGTGAAATAGTTTTGTCGTTATCTCTTACGGTTTCGAAGGAGATGCGAACACAAGTAAAAACAGTGTTTGGGGAGATAACTCTTACAATAAAAAGTGTTCGGTTAAACAGGGTCTGTTTCAAGAAAGAAGAAGAAAAATAATAATATTCAGAACAAATACAATAGGCTTTTCCACGACAAAGTGGAAAGACCTAATTAAATTACAAATCAATAAATGTTTAAACTAACAAAAGTACACACAACACAAAAAAAGTATATTGACAAAAAACGAAATACAACAACAACCGGGACTTTAGATGAAAAAGTAAGGGATCCAGGAAGGGTCAGTAGTTCCTGCACCACTTATGAGACTCCTGTTTCACTCCTGCCCAAATTGTTGATAAGTCAAATAATGCACGTTTATAATTTTCACAGATAGTACATATTACAAAAGAAAATCAAGTTATACAAAAATAAAACATATGATGCATTTTATGTATTAGTTGCAATTGGCTTCACACTAGCTTTTAGTAACTTCGAGTACTCTTATTTCGGTGCTTTGTTTCTATTGTTTTTATATTAGTTGTTTTTGTACCTCGAATTGAGCCTATTGCTACTGAATTTTACTGTGTGTTCTTCTGCTGTGCTGTCACACCCCTGTCCCAGGTTAAGAGAGGGTCGGGCACTCACAAACATGTTTAACCTCGCAACAATCACCATGTGCATGTTCCTATTCAGAAGTTGCTTTTCGTAAATTGTCTTGTTATACATCAGGCAGTTGGTTTTCTCGTTTGAATTGTTTCACATTTTTCATGTCGTGGTCTTTTATAACCGAATATAGGATATGGGTTTTTCTCATTGTTGAAGGTCGTACTGTTGTCTAAAATTGCTTATATTCACTTTATTTGACTTGTGGTGGATAGTCGTCTCATTGGCAATCATGTTACATCTCCTTATTTCCATATTAATCACATCTACTGAAATTAAGATCAAACATTTCATCACAAAAATCATGCTTTTTATATTGTTGTACTTCCGAGTATATTCAATATCACAATGTCTTGGAAAAAAAATAGAAGACATTTGATAACAAAATAACAATTATTACCAGAATGTATGTACACATGACTAGTGTTATAGCTTCAATTAAATGAATCACATAAATATGATATTTATAGTTCCAAAACATCAGTCATATAACAAATTATATATGTTTTGTTTATATATATTTTTTTTAATCTCTCTTAACTTTCTTATCACTTGTCATAGGCCTTTCTGTTATTAGATGCAATAACACGAATTGCTATAGTTGATATAGCAATATACAATCATTTTTTAAGCAGAATATGTCACGGTTGCTAATATTTACTTGTTTAGTGTAAATCATAAGATAAATTAAAACGATGCCTTGTATCATGACATGTCAATGATATTAAACATTCATGTGGAAATTACCTTTGAAAGCAGATTATACATATATTTATCTATCTTGACAATTAACAGATTAAAAGTGGTGTATTTGAATGAAGTCTATATCTGTGTTATCTATGTTTGAAGACATCACAATAACTTAAAATTACATATACTTAGTCTAGAGAGTCATAGAAACACGTGTTGTGCACGTAGACGTTAATTGTCCAATAGAAACTGAAGGTTGTATTGTCAAATATATGTATTTTTTACTGAATTGATATGTTCCATATATCATTTTACAAAAGTAATATGAATGTATACTCACTGGTAAGGATTAATTCTATAAAACAAAATGCAGAATGCAATGACTAAACTACAATTAAAATACTTTTAACAGTAATGACTTATGAGTTGTTTATGTTTTTTTATATTTGATATTTAATCAACTTTACATTTTTCGAATAAACTTATCCTGAAACATCACGCTGTTTCACTGGTTGATCATTACTTCGTCTTTTTGATAATTTGAAAATAAAGGTGTATAAGTTTTCCAAATTATCCTTCTTTAAATAGTCAACAGATGTTCGTCAGTAAGACCAGATACATATTTTGTTCATATTCGGATTTGCCACATGTTATCTAACTTACATAGAAAGCATGTCTAAATAAATTACAATTTCGATACATACCTCTGATTTAAATCTATTTATTCTTAAAATGTGTATTTTTCATGTTTGAATTTCTGTTTTAATTAAGGAAGACTTACACCATTTTCCCTGAATAAACTGATAAAAAGTAAAGGAACCACACTTTTTCATCAACTTTAGGCAAGATAAATGTTAATATGCCTTTCTAAAGTCTTTATAAACACAGACATGACAATGGATGACAAATTGTGAACAAATGGTACTGTCATGGATTGAATACACTAGCAAAATATGTTTTTGATTTTCATGGTCACAATTAATGAATGATAATTTTATCAATAGGGTGTTGAGATTTACTGATACTTACTCAGAAATTTTGTCTTGCCTGAAAAGCAGTAGAAAAGTATCTTTTGTAAAAAAATGTTATTCAATCGAATTCATTTTAATATGTACTGTTGAATCTACTGGTTCTGTACCAGTTACCGTCAATAATTCTTTTTTTTTCGAATAAAATTTTACTGGGACTCTATTTGAAAATATTTTTTTAACATCAAAAGGGTTACCAAAAGTTATGTCAAATACCACATACTTGGACTTTCAATCATCTTGTAAACAATGAAAAGTGGTTTGCAAGTGTGCCTATTTTTGGGAGGAATTTTATGGTTACAAGGACCAGTAACCGTCACTTAATTATCTGACCACTTAATCATAGTTAATATGAATAGTAATGTCATATATGCCAATCGATATTAAGAAAAGAAGTAGATTTGTTAAATTAACCAAAAGTGTAGACATTGCATCCAAAAATTCTTAATCTTTTCTTCCTTTTGCTAAATTTGATCTGAACATGAATTGTGTCACTTGAGACAATCAAAATACACTGTATTGAAAGGGAGCATATAATGTGATTTTCAAAGTGTTAAACTTGTTTTGATTTTGATTAAAGAAATTTGTATTCTAAAGCAAGCTTTGATATATAATTTGTTAAAAAACGGCAAGTTTTCCAAAATTGAGGACGACAAAAAGTGATTACGTCATGTCCCCGCACGCGTTTTTCCCACGACGTGTTACAAAAACTAAACACTCAACATGTCATTGTCTTAAATGGATCAAACAAAACAAAGTTTTTGAATATGAAGCAATAGTATTTGTCTGCAGAAAATAGCAGTATGCCGAATGTTCGCAATACTTCCGTTATCACATTAAATGCATGGTGACGGTAACTGTAACTGACGGTAACTGGTCCACGGCCAGTATTCTTAAAATTAATTTCATCATCTAATATCTCGGGTAAAACATTTATTTGCATAGAAATTAATATAATCTTGCAAATTATATCATTGCCTTTTGTATTTAGCGCATTTGATGAGAATTAAACAATGCGATTATAAATGAGTTATTTGTTGTTAATTGCATTTTGTGGTTTTGTAAGACCTTGGTCTTGCATCGTTTTTTTTCTTTCCTCGTTTATTTTCTTTCTCTCGTTCGTCTGAACTTGTGATTCATGATTGTGTTAATCATGTATTCTTAGAAATGATCTTTTGTCAGGTTGTTGCCGTTTGTGATCATCTCATAATTTTGACCATTTGTTTTTAGTAAGTTTGTGTTGTGCGTTGTTTTTTTTTATTCTTCTAAGTTTTACAATATTTTTCTTGTCATTATCTTGGCTTATATTTCCGGGTATTCTTAAAACGGGTGGTTTCTCAAAGAACTGTGTCATATCTAAACATCTCACATTTAACACCAATATGACAGTATTCTTACCCACAAAGGTTGCATGCGTATCTGTACAGTGCCTTTGTTGGCTGTTCTCTGAAATCAGAGATTTGGAAATAAGAACTAATGAAAGTGAAACTCACGAAAAAATAAAACATTAAATACGCATATCAAACGTGTGTGTGTTTTGTGATATTTGTTCAAATATTTATAATGTATGTCGCACAAGATTTACACATAGTGTCCGAATAACTTATTTCATCTCTAATAAAAAGTTCTACTACAATGCATACATATTGCAATTCACAACTTCGTTGTAATAAACATACTCAACTGTAGAATTTAAAATCATTTACACAGGGACTTAAACGTACATGAATAAGAAGGCTGTATGACTCAAATTCAATGTGGGTGGTATTTGTCTTTATTGTAGAGCTAATAAATTGTATTGAACTGCGTAACATTGAGTCTATTGTCAACAACTTATATTTGGTAGGAGGTTTTTGATGCTATGAATATACTTAATCAAATTAGAAAACCAAGATGTGTTCTTGAAATGCTATCGTATCCTTAGTGAGAGAAAGAAAATATTACAATGGGTTGTTCAAGTGTTGTTTTTTTTTAATGAAAACTGGGTTTAAAGTGGAATTTGGCCAGTGCATGACTTGCTTCATAGTTTAAACAAGTTTATGTCATTTAAAAATGTCCAACAGTTATATCAACTTATACGAATTTTAAACATTTTTGTTTAGAATCAAACTTCACTTAAAGAGTGATTATATGTTCCTAATGTCGTGACTACAATCCCATCTCCTTTTCCCGAATATGACCTACCGAATTAGACTTATTACCCACGGGTTTGTATTAACATGAGCAACACGACGGGTACCACATGTGAAGCAGGATCTGAGATCACCATAAGTTGTTGGTGGGGTTCGTGTTGCTCAGTCTTTAGTTTTCTATGTTGTGTTTTGTGTACTATTGTTTGTCTGTTGGTCTATTTCTTTTTGAGCCATGGCGTTGTGAGTTTATTTTCGAATTATGAGTTTGAATGTCCCTTTGGTATCTTTCGCCTCTCTTTTATAAGCTATTAATATCGATTTAAATGAAAACATTCTACTGTTCAATATAAGTATTTTCTTCGAATCAAAGACATTTAAAAGGTACTAAATGAGAAAATGTTACATTGGCTGCGAAGGAAAACAGGAAAACCATCTTAATATGACTGATATTAACTTAATAGAAATATACCAGGGTTTCCGCTGGCGGTCGCCATTTTCGCCATTTGAGAAAAAAAAATTGTGGCGATTAAAATTCGTTAATGGCGAAAGAATTTGGCGAAACAAATATAACCGTTCGGCTTCGTTCATCCTGTTTACTTTTAGGGTTTATCAGACTTTTTTCTTGTCAGATCATACAATACTAGGAATTCACCATGAACTCGTTATATCTTAAATAGAAAATCAATAATCAGGTTATTGCATTTCATAGCTACCGCCAACAATGGATTATAATTAGTAAAGGTGTTGAGTGTATTGTTTAATAAAATGGTGAGGTCAAATGGCGTCATATGTCATTCAAAGGATTTAGTTACAACTTTCATAGAAATTATTGTTTTGAACAGGGATTTTACAATCGTTTTACTTTTAGCAATGCAAGTGTACATCTCCCCTTTTACTTTTAACCATGGTATGGAAAAAAAACCTGTTGTTATGGCGAAAAATGTTCAACAGTAAGAAAAATCTCTAATTTTAAAGTTTTTTATATAATTTTTTTAGAAATAATTGTTTTGATGTAGGTGATTTTTTTTAGCGACGCATGTGTTTAAGGCTTGGTTTTTGGGGATCCAATTTTTTTCATTTAACGATGGTCCGGAATGAAAACTATTGTTAACAAATAAAATATTTAAAAGTAAGAAAAATCTTTGACGTTAGTCCTTATCCTTTAACTAGACGGGAAGTATCCAATACACTTATTTAATATGAATCCCTTCTTATGCGTCAGAAGTTAAAAATAATGGTTTCATGATCTGTTTTGCAATTTTACAGTTTCTTTTTAAAAGTAAATGTTTTGTTGTTATTGAGTGTTTATTCATTACAATGTAGATAACAAAAAGATATGAAGAATTATAATAGATAACGATGTGAAATGATTTTTTTTTTGTTAGAAAGAAGGAACATTTTAAACGAAAAATATGTTTAAGCTAGTGGGCGAAAAAAAGATTGAAACTGACAAAAAAATTGTTTTCGCGAAAGAGATGGCGAAAAGAAAATTGTTCCAGGGGAAACCCTGAACATATGTAAATACTGAAAAGAAAAACAGAGACCATAGAACATCTATTTTGGAGTTGTCATATGGTCTGCAGTACTAAGCTTGCACTAAACAATTGGATTTTTGAAATTTTGAAAATATAAGAAGATTTTGCTCACAAAAAAAATATTACAAGAAGTATTGCCAAACTTAAATAATTTTCCAAATTTGTAAAGAAACACCTGAACTTGAACAACTCTCTAAAGATGTATATAGCAAATACTGGAGTCCCTGGTTCTCTATTATAGACTAAATAATAAATGTTTTTTTTTGTTTTTTTTTATTTGTGGTTTTTTTCGCATTTCTTTATTCAAATTTGATTTATACACAACACATATATATTCAAGAACGAAATAAGAATCGTTCTTCCGCTACTAGATCATTATTTGGGTTTGACCTAAGGTTGTATCATTATATATTCTATTGTTTGTTTTAATTTAAAATTTCCTTGATGTAAACATGCTATTCTGCAAACCTTTGTTCATACATGATGTGCAAGCTAATTTATTACAGTAAAGCATATCCATTATAAACAAAATATACTCATATCATTATAGTGTTATTCCAAATGTCTGAAATCCTAACTCGGATAAATAATTGTTTTACTAATTGTCGTCGTCTTCTAACGAAAGTTCTTTATTAGCTATGACTGTTAAGATAATACATCAAATTCACGCGAGGAAAATATTTCTTTCCAAAATAAAATGCATGATAGGGAAAATATCTTATAAACTCTTGACTAACAATTTTTATCTCGTTGCTTTTACTATCTCATAAGTTTTATACGCCTGGATTCCCCATTTTTAGCATTGGAGTATACATTCTTTTGGTTATTCCAGTTCACGTGTTGTGCTCAAATATATCATATAAAACATTATATGTTATCAGGTCTCAGACAGGGTATATACTTTGACATTCCCAGCTTAGAGTCTATATAACTCCTAAGTCGGGAATGTCACAGTATATACCCTGTCTAAGACCTGAATTACACATATATTATGGATTACCCCTGTCTTTATGTTTTTTTCCAGTGCAGGTATTTATTAAACATTCACAATGCAGCATGTATATTCATTACATGTTTATTAGGTCTTTCCACCTTTCCGTGGAAAGACCTATTGGTTTTCTTCTGATTATTTTTTTTTTCTTCCGCCTAATTTTTTTCTTGCGGTGTATTTTTGTTTCAAAAGATGTCGCTTAGTTTTTTGGTATATGATAGCATACAGTCTATACGCTTTTGAAACTGACCCTGCTTAACCGAACACTTTTCTTTGTAAGAGTTATCTCCCCAAACACTGTTTTTCTTGTTATGAGATCTCCTCCGCAACCGTAAAAGAAAGCGACAAATTTATTTTTCCAAATTGCTCGTTATATCCTCAGGATGTTAGGTTTTATTTAGACCGAAGCTTTACGAAGACTCCAAATGAGAGTTATTTCCCCTTTTGTATTTGATATATGTGAAATGTATTTGTAACTGGAAAACCATAAGTGATAGAGGCCTAGGGTCTTTTGATTTGAGGTCCTTGGTCCATAAAAATGAAAATGAGGTCAAGGTCAAAGGTCAAGGTCATGTTAAAAATTTTGATTTTGGCTTTTTATCACTAATTTTCAGAAATCTTATAAGATATCGACAAATTTTTTTACAGAATTGTTAGTTGCGACATGTCGTAACACGTAAATTTGAGTTGAAAGGGTACAGAGACATTTAGTGGGAGTTTTCTCCCATATAATATTCAAAATTACACGTATGGTGATATAACTCATTCATCATATATATTTGAGACCTAGGGTCTTTTTATTTGAAGCCCTTGTTTCATGACCTTGAAATTTGGGTCAGGTCAAAGGTTGATTCGACGTTCTATATTTTGACCTTTGCTTTTACCTCATATATATACATGATAAAGCCATGGGACTTTTTGCATGAGGTTGCAAGCCATTTGACCTTGAAAAAGCCAACCGGAAGTGACCTTTTGTAAACCGAAAGTAGCTATTTATTGTACTAAATTAATGTAAAAGTATATAGAACTATATATTTTTGGAATCAGTGTCAAGTAAACTTTCAAATAATACCGGAAGTGACATTTTTCAATCCGGAAGTAAAAAATTATCTCCCTTATTTATATTTTTTTTGTAAAGAAACCATATATTTTTGGAATCAGCGTACATTAAGCTATCATTTGACGTTTGAATTGACATTTAAAATCTAATTTAAATATTTTTCATATCAAAACAGATCCTTACTGGAGGAAAGACCTTCAATTGTTCTCTGAACAATTGGTTTTTAATATTGTTCTTACATCTGTTCTGAAAAAAAAAATCCACATGCTTGTTATCAGATGTTCTCTGAAACTACATGTCCAATTGACCCCAAAATTTGCAGTCAGCAGGGTATACATGTATTACATCTTCATAAAACAATGTGGTGCAGATATCTTTCAAGAATTTTCCTAGAGAAAAGAAATTGCAATGCCGTAAAAATCGCTTGCTAGTTCCGTAAATCTTAGTGAAATCCATCCTACAATAAAACGTCCGCTCCTAGATTGAAATACAAATCTGTGTTACAAACTGCTACTGAAAAATGTACAATACAAATCTGTGTTACAAACTGCTACTAAAAAATGTACATTATATGAAAATAATCAACAAACGTGTTTTAAAATTACACAGGATCAATTAAATCCAAAGCATGCACTGCTCGTAAACTGTGATCAAAATGTCAATTACCTACAATGACAAAAGAAATACATTGTGTGTATTCCGTCGCTATACATGTTGTCTGTCCAACGTCCCCACCTAAAAAGAAATAAAAATACTAAGTTTTCGCTAATATAAAGCCTCGTAACGTGACGCCACAACCTGGCGCGAGACAAAGACGCGCGCAGACCTTGAAATAGACTAAAAACTTTCCAAACTAAATATAGAAACTTAACCAACACACTTATATGGACCCTTTAAAGAAACAAACACACAAACAAACATACACATGTATCAATCAATCATGTTTCAGAAGGGGAAAAGACCGTTTACAATTGCTTTTTAAAGCAATTGATTTATATTTGTTTCTTAATATTTTGAGTAATCCATTTAAATGCACCTTTTCTTATCTTGACAATTTTTTATCCGTTTAGAAAATGTTTTCAATAAAGTTTTCAGATTTCATGTTTTGTGTTTGTATGTGTGTGTGGCTTTATTTTTTACAACACAAACATTGGAAAACCCAACCTGATATGTTCTGCAGACGTGAAAGATTATGTAATTTGCTGTGAAAATAATTTTATCCTGTATGTAATAATTTATTATAACACTTTAAAACATTAAATTTAAGTATTCGAAGTGTAAATTTGCGTGATTTTTTGTATTAAAAATGTATTATTGACGGATGCACGTCATTATTTTCCCTCCGTGAGCCTCTGGCATTTTTTAGTGTTCTGTATAGCTTTTGACTACGTCACATAGTAACAGGTGTTATGATGACGTTTTTGAGGTTCCAATTGGGAATAAAAACGTCGTATATACCCCGGCAGTTTCCTGAATATATACTGACATCTCTGTGTTGTTATCAATCACAAAACTCGACACATTTGTAATCCGTAATATATAATTATGTAAGGAGTGTAACATTTTATAAAATTAATTCGTTTATTGTCAATTCTAAAAACGTCACAAACATACAAATATTTTCTTAGCGCATATTCTAATCATTGGTTATCAGAAATCCTAGGATGAATAAAATTAAGTTGGTCCTTGCAAGTTCGTGTTTAAGTGTTTTGATTTATTAAACCAATGCAAACAATTGAAAATGGTGCTTACTGGAGGATCCCAACATCAATTTAGCCATTGAAGCGTGTTTGTATGTTCACTATGTTGTGCAAAGTTCGTTGTGAATATCCCAAACCCAGAAAAGCATAATAAAAAGACTTTTTTTATATTAAAGTAGGATGTATCTTACAAATATAAGGAAAATACCTAGGCCCTTTCTTTGGTGTCTGTTCTACACTGTAAACTACTATTCCTCTGAAGAAAAGAAGAAAAGGCAAATATTTATCGCTACTTATATTTCTCCTCGAACTACAGTTACACGAGTTCATAGTGTACAAATGAAAATACATTTATCTTTAACGCTAAAAAGCATTACACCAACCTTAAAACGGTAAGATTTATAACAAAATTAATTGCAGTTTATTGCGTGTGTTTTTACCATGTTTCATGTACTTTTTGCTTGTGTGTACCTTTATTGTGCCGTATTTAGCTTGTTCGTTTACTGGCGACCTTGTCGTTGTACACATTAGGATGCGTTACTATGTAGCATGTGTGTGTAGTCCTTTCACATACCGTGTGAAACGAGTGTGTTAATTGTGTTTAGTATTTGTTGACACTATATACCATGTACGTTAGCGTATCCATTTATCGTGTGCTGAGGTCTCGTATACGTTTGTTGTATCGTTTATAGAGTATACCTTGACTATGTGGTGTGCATTACTTCGTATTTACAGTTAATCTGTGATTTTAAATTGTAAAAGAATTCTGAAAAGTAAATAAGTTTTACTGAAACATTGAAATCTTGTTTTTAAGATACTGGAATACGACTATTTTACTGGCTGACGATTTCCTTGTAAAATAAAAAAAAAAAACATGATTACACATTTTGTGTGGAATAGTTTTAGAAAATTATGGGAAAACATATTAAAAGTAGAATTTTTAATCAATATGCGCTTTTGTTTCTGATCAATACGAATCCTAGTGTGTATCTACGTGCATGATGTGCATCTGATGTATGTGTTTTGCATTTGCATTCATTTCCGTAAGTCTGTAATCAAATTTATTACCATATCATTTTTCCACGTTTCGCTTAACAATAATCGACATTGATTCGTTTTAAGACTTTTAGTAATTTTGTCGCAATGATACACACCTTGGCATAATTGAAGGCAACATTTTGATTGACTGATGTAGTTTTGATAAGAACGAAAAGTAGCATGCGTGTGACCATTTGTTTGTTTGCAAGTGACTTGTGTGCAAGCTGCTGTAAATGTGCATGTGTCTTGGGTGTCACGTCCAGTTCATTAACCATGAAATGCATGTTTATACAACGGTTGAGTGACGGTAATAAAAGAATGTCGAATGTAATATATAGAATATATGCAGTATATTATTTGTATATTATAACAATAAAGTTAAACTTATAACAAAAATCAATCAGTGGTTAAATAATTAGACTCGAGACAGGCAAAAAGGTGAAAACAAACTATTGACATTACAACACTTGTCTAGAGTGAATAACTTACCGGTACGATATGTTTCCAAATATATTGATTATTTTTCGTTCTGTTACTTTCTTTTTGTTATATTTTACTCTCGGTAGCACCGATGACTCCTCTCCCCTTGCAACATCTAGCTCGGATTTGATATGTTTTAACTGTTTCAGACGTTAAGTAGCATCAGTTATTTTTAAGCTATCGAAAAAGGCGTTCTGGCATTTCTTCAACATTTTTATGTCATTTTAAAACTCAGTTCTACTAGACTGTAAGGCCTTAATGCTTGCTGTCTCTTTTTTTTTCCAATGATTTTATGAGAGCTTGTACTTTCTTGTCAATCCACACTTTCATCTGTTTTCCTTCGTCTGTAATCATACGAATAGCTTCTTTGACGTCGTTTTGGTACCTTCCTGTGCCTTGTTCAATTTTGTCTAGGTTTGTTTTGGTGGAATTAATCTTCGATTCAATCACATCTTTTAATTCTGATTGCAATTCCTGTATCGATTCGTTGATTTCAGACGTATCATGCTTTTTATGTTTTTTGACAATACACATTTTGCATATTGGTATGTCACAATCAATGCAGTAAAATATGAAATTTTCGTCGTGTTCTGTGCAAAACAGTTTTTCTTCCGGATTGATATTTGACTCACTTAGAAAGGTATGATTCATACATATTTTAGACCTTAAATGTAAAGTTTTACAATTTTCACACATCCATTGATCGCATTGTTCACAATAGTTACGCCCTGGTCCATTCATACATATGTCGCAGGATTTCAAAGCGGATTGTGCCATTTTAGTTGTTTTCCTTCAGTTACCTTGACACAGGTTAAACGTCTAATAAATAATCGATATCGGTAATGTAAACCAAGAAGTTACGGAAAATTCTACAGAATTTTATCTTGTTTAACTTTTATTACGCACATGATTGAAAGGATATTTATCGATGAAAATATTAAGGTTTTATTGAATCAGAATAAAAATACAAAATGTGTAGGCAAGTTTTCAACGCATTTATTTACTTTTAAATGTGTACTATTTATAAATATTTAAATGTTCTACCTGCGTTCCGAAGAACACAGTATCTCAATTTAAATAATATCTGGTTAATGTCCTCAGCTGAGTTCCTAAGTACACTCTCTCGTCATGATTAATATTTAGTTAAATGTGATACACTATTGGCTAAGAAGGGTTAGTTAATACACCAATATCACAAATATTACAAAACTGTGGATGACAGGTCAGCCTTTTTCTAGTTCGAAAGTGTGTATCTGGTTTGAATTTAGCAATGCAAATACGTTTAATAGTACACGCAATGATTTTTTGATATTGATATATATTAGTGATTTTCAAATAAAAGCGTATTAAATGATAATTTGATACAGGGTTCTATATAATCTTCTAAATAATACCTCTATTTATATTGATTAGAATTTTATTGCACAACTATACAAGGATAATACATGTAGTTATATATTTTGCATATATTTACTTAAATACATACACTTACATTTGGAAAAATATCCTGCGTTATTCTAATCATCAAATGCTTTCTTATATTTATCTTTTGTGAATTAGTATATGTCTGTCTCTGATACCTTTCTAGAGTTATGACTCAATGTAAGTGTTTTATAATTATTTGCCAAGTATTTTCCTTCTTTTATCATTTAAAAGTCTTGAAAAATGTCCTAATACATTTATGTTATTCAAGAGGGTGTGGATGGGGGTTACAGAATAGAGAATAATGGCCAAAAAATATAAAGAATAGAGACAAATGGACCAAAAACTAACGAATAGAGAATACTAGGTTGCTAAAATATAAAGAATAGAGACTAATGGGCAAAATGTATAAAGAATAATGAAAAAATGGCCAAAAAAATGAAAGAATACGATATTGAAGGACCCGCATCCTCATTCAGTATTGAGGTTTTGTGTTTAATAATGTGTTCACATATGGTTTATTCGCCAATCACTCTGTATGTTCATTGGAAAATATTGTAACATTAATCATAACACAGTTGCATCCTAAACCTTCTCATGATGAAAATAGTATCCGATACTTACCTACGAGATCTACATTCCTATATGTACATGTGTTTGTTAATTGGTTTCTGAACACACAAAAATGAAATAAAACGCATGCAGCTATGAGTTTTTGTCCGCCCTTATAGATACTAAAGATAAATAACGATATTTTTGATGTGTAATATTTATTTTTGTAAACATAGTTAAGGAGGATATTACACCAATATTTTCGTTATACAAATATTAATGATAGTGGCATGTTGACCTCTTTCTGGTATAAGACTGCAGTATTATTATATACAACACAGTTATACGAGAAAGGTTCAGATTGTTAAAATCATTTAAGAATAAGTTACCTATAGGCATTCAGAACAAAAACCAAGAAAAAAGCTTAAAAAAGGCTCTGTATGTGTATATATTAATTTATTAATTTGGTGTATGATAAAGGTAGAGGTAAATTTAGACACAACAGCTATATCAGATTTGCTTTTTCTCAATACATATTTTCCGAACATAAAACATGTACTTAAATTAAAAAAAAGCAGCTTGATATGAACGTTGTTTCTAGATTCAAAATGATATATGTTTTCTAATATTTAATAAGTCTCACTATTTTATTTCATATAAACAGTGCAACATTATAACCTTATATCCGATTTTCTTATTGGTATTCACATATGATTCGAACATATATCACTTTCGCATTACCATTACAACATTTGTTTAATAAATGATTGAACATAGATGGACAATATTTTCAAGAGGCTATTTGATTTGCAGGAAACACGTACAAATAATGAAACGCTTACTCTGTCGGTGCAGGTTGGTTCGCTCTTTTTGTAATTAATGGGATTCTCTCAGTTTCTGTGTTTGTTACCTTGGCTTGTCTCTTTCTAACCAATTTACGACTACCAATTAAAATGTATTGATTCATAATTCTGAATTGACATTTTGATTTGTTCACTACTTGTAGATTTATGTGAAATAAGGAATAACAAACAAACTTAATTGAACGTCAGCTGTTATGTGTTGTCTATACGTGGTTGCGATTCCCGATTAAAGGAGAAGAATAATCAAAATACTAAATTATTGACGATATGTGTTATAGACAGGGATATCAAATTAACCATTTTAATCATGAAACTATTTTATAGTATTCATCATATTCTTCACCGATGCTAGAGTATAAATCATGTATAAATGCAAAGCCTAAAACAAACTATGAATAGTTCATAAAAAGAACTTAAATTCAAAGTCAAACCCGGACAAAGCTATTTCGAAATTAGAAGATGCGGTATGATTGCCAACGAGATAACTCTCCATTAGAGACAATTAACAACTATAGGTCGCCGTATGGTATTTTACAATGAGCACAACAATACTGTAAGGTAAGCTATTAAAGGCCCCGAAATGATCAAAAAATTCAAACGTAATATGCACGAGGAAGACATTTCCTTCAATTTAAATGATTTAAAAAATTTTCAACAGAAAATTTCATAAAAAACAAAACAATATACGTACTTTATACCAGAAGCAAAGTACTGGCTGCTGGGCTCATGATACCATCGTTGACCAACAATTCACTAACAGAGGTATTGACAAGAGGTAGTTTCAATTTCACGGAACCAGATGCGTATTTTGACAAGTGATATTTCTTTAGTGATGCCCTATTTTTGTTTAAATCCAAAATCTAAACAAAACATAAAAGAGCTGAAAAAACAAAAATGGACATGTTATAAGCGCATATTTCAATAAAAAAAGATATCCGTAGTTTTATGTCAGGAAAGAAGTTCTTGCTACAAGGCTTATGATACACACGGGACAAACAGGTTACCAGTAAAGGTATTTATCCAGTGCTAGCAACAACATGAAAGTTGAAGCTGTAAATTTTTCGAACCTGTAAATCCCGCCTCTTTTTTCCCGAATATGACGTACCGTATTAGACTTATTGTTGGATGTGTTTTTACATGATCAACACGACGGAAGTCACGTACGGAGCAAGTTTGTTTTTTCTAAGATGTGTTTTGTATACTGAGTTTGTCTTTTGATGACCGTTTATACTTCAGCCTGTAATCCCTCTGTCACATTGTCTGATTGTTTGATATCAGACATATCTTGGTATTTGTAATTGTTGTCGATACATAGTTGATATATTGGTTTATCATAAGCAATACAGTATCAAAGGCTATTTCATCGCGTTTGCTGTAGAATGATTTTTCCTCCGATTTTATATTCGGTTTGATGGAAATGGTATGATTTTAAATTCTTTTAGACCGTAAATGAAAAGATTTGTAATTATCACAAAGCAACTGCTGGCATTGTTCACCATAGTTTTGCCCTGGTTCACTCATATAAATGTCGCAGGACATCAAAGGGGATTGAGCCATTATCAGGAGTTTTTTATAAAGTTACCTTGACACATGTAGTTCTAATAAATGAACACTAATTGATAGGTGGAAGTATCAAGTAACGGAATTCTGAATCATCTAAATCTGAAACGTTATTTCAACTAATCTAGTACACATGATTATGGTAGTTTTTAAGTTCTGAACTCGAGCATTAATGAATATTCAAAATAATTATGTAAAAATCAATACGTTCCAATTATGTTACACATTTATTTGTAAAAGCTATTCAAATGCCAATACTCGAGTTTAAGAATTATCATATATTTCATATGTTTATTAACCCGAGTAATTCAGTCGTTATATTCCGCTGATCTACGATTGCTTCATTAACGCCTGAATGCATAGACAGTGAATAATCGTTAGTCAATCATTCAGAATTAGCTCGGGTTTTACCTTTTCTCAATAAATTGAACTGACTGCTGATTGGTCACCTCTTCTAAAAGGCACTTATCAAAATCCAGGATCCGTGAAAAGTTTTTAGTGTTCGGAATTCTGACCCTCGCAATTAGGAGAGATCGATTACGGGGAGGGACGGAAATATTTGAGTTATGTATATAAAGACAAAGTAGATAACATATTGTTTTAAGGTCAATATTATAAACATCTATATGATTTGCATGTAAGCGATCGAGTAGAAGTTCACAGACTCATCGTTTTCTAAATTTACTTTAGGTTTTGTTTATTATAAGAGTACAAATCATACAAGTTACCATTGAAACAAATCAACAAAAACAAAACAAAAACTAACAGACAAATCTTAATCCATTTGATAGAAAGCTGTAAATCACATTGAAGACAACATAGATAAAAACCAGGTAGACATATTATGAAACTCTTACGGAAG